ATATTCGAGATTTTCAGTACTTTACCAAGCAGTTTATCACCCCTCATCTTTGAAAATGTGTTTTTACATGTATCTATTATTCACAAGTCATCTGTTCAGGTTGGAAAATCCAGACTAATCACATGACTGGTCCTAAAGTACCACTCATCTCTTTAGGAGCTGGGTTTGGCGTCTGAAGGAAACAAACGTACGGCGATGAGATCGATGAGAGCTTTACTTACATGAGTCAGAGTTTTGGTTTTCACTCGTTTCTTTTTGGAAGACTCATGAGAATAAATATCTTGTTTTACTTTAATATATTTCCCCCAAAATATTCAAAGAAATCTGTCTCATTAGAAGAACTTTCATTGTGAAAATAATGATACGAAGTTAATGAGCGCGCAGCCATTCCTGTTATTGATCACAGAGACGGCTCAGCCTGCAGCCGCTGGTTACATCTGGAGGGGCTGCTGTGTTCAATAATGAGTTTGTGTTTGTGAGTGTGCTCTGCTGAGGACAGTCTGATGTAGGACAGACAGTGACTCATCTTCATGTCCACTGTCAATATCGTTGACATCACAGGGACACTGTGATCGGAAAAACACAATAATCAAATTCAAGTCAAATTTAAATCAGATTAAATTAAGATGTTGTGAGCCCACTCTCAGTTCACACACCCTAAAGTCAGCAGATTAACTTAAACTATTGAAAAGTCTCAGATGCAGGCCTGAGGCGAAGCTTGTGAGTGGTGAGACCAAAAACTTTGGCTGATTTACTCAAATGAGAAAAATAAAATAGTGGTACCTTGGTTAGGGTTAGCCATATCTTAGACTCTGAAGAGGAACAAAAGAACGGGCAGGTACAGTGTTGACTGCAATAAAACAACTGTCGTTATATTTAGTGACTTTTCAGACCCTCTTAGTGACTTTTTTCTCAGACCCTCTTAGTGAATGACCCTCTTAGTATCTGCAACCTTTGAGTAGGATCCCAAAGGTCACTGGGAATATATAAAGGAGTGGACAGGAACCAGAGGATATGGTGAAGATCAGCTGGATGGCAAGTACCATTATTATGACCCACAGAGAAATGTACTCCAGAGTATTATTTGAACCAACCATCTACTGTCTGTGTAGATATATATATATATTTTTTTTTGCATAATAGCATACTTAATATAGTAAATGCATGGTAAATGTATATCACTACACAGTAATATAGTAAATGGAATAAACTAAGACATTTTCTCCTAAGATAAAACCTGCACATGTGCAAAACCGCTCCTGCGACAGGTACGCCTCTTCCATCCATCTTGAAGTATAACGCCTTGCATAGTCAGCATTTTTTAATCCAATTTATACTCTGAATAAGTCAGCCTAAAATTTAAATATAAGATTATTTACCTACCCTCAAATTGAGTTTTTGCAGTGCACAGCCTGTTCCTGCATTAATTCAGAAAATATTTAATGAGCTGTGACAGAACAAAACTGCAAGCAAACAGGGAAATTATAGAAGGAGCACTACCAGAAAACAATTACAGATTGTCACTTAATCATGCCCTGAGCGTGGGAGCAAGTTGACAATACCTTAATTACAACGTCAGAAAACTGTGAGGGAATTTGTTCTGTCGGCAAATCCACAAGAGGCCAAAGTGAATACAAAGTATGCTCAGGGTTGTTGTCTGGGCTCTGACCTTATCACATCTTGAGAGCAAACATACCAAAGTCAGCGCAGCAGACAATGAAGAGTGATGATAAATGAAAAAAGACAAAAAGCAGAAAATTAAAAAATAACATAAGGACCGAACAGCAGCTGTTATTTGGAATCTATGTGTGCCGCCCAGCATGTGGCCTCTCTCCAGCACAGCACCTCTATACAGTGAATATGCCATCTGGTAAGCTGAGGATGCATTTAAAATCAACCATCCACCTAATAAGCAGCAGAACACCGGGAATATCAGCAAAAGCGCTTATAAAATTCAGCGGTTTTAAATTCATTAGGCATATCATAATACCAAAGTTATGGTTGTTTTCTGGCTAAATGTTCCCAACTGGTGGCTGCTCTGATGAAGCTTTTCTAAAATACTGTCTGAAAGGGAGACGAAACAGCAATCTGCCCTGTTGATGTACAGCTTAAAGATGGAGTTAAAGGTAAGCCAAAGAGTCTGTGGAGGAAGTATGAGCTGACTTTGTTATATAAGACATTGGGCATTTTCTTTTCTCCAGAATGGGCTGTGTGCAAGACACATTTACAAAGTCAGTACAGTCAATACAAAACATGACCTTTGAATAGCTTGTGCAAGTTTCAACCGACAGAAAAACCTCCAAAACAAAACCCAGCAAAACTAAACTCATCTCCGGCTCTGTACTTCAATTTAAAATCATTGTGGACATCAACATTATAAAGGCATCAGAACCCCAAACATCCCCAGAACTAAAGAACACGTATGTCACAGTTTTTCCATAAGACCTGGGAGGAGCATAAACCTGCGTCTACCAGGTATAATATTAGCAATGCAGTTCAGCAAATCAAACCTTCTCTTCATAACTCAGGTAGGCTGCACACAGTCAGAGCTTTGGTGCTTTGTCTTTTTGTCAGGTCACTTTAGAAACTTAGAAACGAATCTGAATGTCTCAGAAATAAATGAGTCACAGCTGTAACTGAAAACTGTACATTTGGCTTTCTTCCATGTTTCAGTTTCAGGGTTTGTGTGGGTTCCTCCTCTGACTCTGACTCATTGATTTAAATACTTTTACATATTTCTCTGTAGCTATGACAAGTCCAGCGGTGGACAGTAACAAAGTCTTTTCACTTTATTACTACACTTCACTTGGTGTTATTTTTGAGTGAAACATTACTTTTTACTTACAAAGCCACGTTTTTCATATGTTCTCGTTTTGATGGTACTGGTGGCTTTAGCAGAGACGAAAGAAAAAGTCCCCACCTGTGTTTGGAGTGGAAGCAGCAGCTCAGCAACAGCCGAGCGCAGCCTCGGTCAGCTGGACTCAGTAAAAAGAAAACGACATACTCACAACAGGGTACTTTTCATTTCTGTGGTCGATTTTCCTGCTAATTTTCTCGCTGACGTAATGCACCCAATACGTATCCTGTGGGTTTTGGGCTCAAGATCTTGTGTGCAGGACGAGGTGTACCAACACTCCCATTACGAGGACTCTGAATAACTCCCTTGTAACCCAACAGTTTTGGATAAAGGGTACAAAGATCTGTTACAATCAGATCAGTTATTGATTTTGTTTTTTTTGTAAAGCACGTTGTGTTACATCCTTTTGTATGAAAAGTGTTTTATTATAAAGTTTAATTTAGTTTAACATAAAGTAACCGTATTTTATCTGGCTGTAAAGTTTGTGCATGAACAGTCTTTGCTTTTTTCTGTTTTTGTATTAAGATTCAAATGTATTTGATAAATGGAGGAGTTTGGTTTTTGGCGAAAAGAAATAAAAGAGCAAGTTTTTGCAATGTCACAAGGACAGATTCTTGTCAAATCTGAACATTTGGTATTTCAGGAAAAGTGTGAGAATGAAGTGAAATATGTTGTGATAAACTGATTTTGTGAAAAAGTGAAATATTTTTGAAGGCAGCAGCATTCTGTCACACTGATTTTTTTTTCCATGTATTCCCAAGTTGCTTTTCTTATGTTCTCATCACTGTGTATAAAAATCTTTGATCATCAAGAGAGGTTCTGGTGAGAGCAATTAACTGAAAAGATGGAGTCAAAGCGGGTGAACAAAAAGCTGTGCACTTTGTTTGGCTGTAATCTTATCTTTACACATATGCAAATGCATATTTGAAATCACAGCTGGTTTTGTACGTCTGAGTTGCTCTTGAACAGTCCTTATATCTTTGAACTCTCATCACATAACTTTCAATTTTTCACATAATTGGGACATTGTTGTATTCTATCCTCGCCATTTGGCAATCGCATAATGCCTTGACTTTTAAAAACCCATAATTCAGATGAAAGATTGAGTGACTCACAGCCAGGCAGAGCTGTTTCCTCCAATGGCCTTTTGAAGTTCAGCCAAGCAAAATCTCAGTTAATTAGAAGTGAACAAAGAGGAGGGAGTGAAGGAAAGACACCGAGGTTGACAGCCGTTTTCTTGCCCTGGAAGAAACAATGATCTGTCGGGGCTGACGGATCTCTGACAGTGGAAAAAAAAGAACGATGACACAAAGTGATAAAAAGGTGGATAGTGAAGTACACTGTGATCATCCATCAGAAGTGATTTGATAGAATCTTTGTGAAAATTGAGCCGCGTGTTTCGATAAACCCTGACAACAGTGTGAGCTGTGCAAATATCTTTCTGGCATTGGGAGGAGAAATTGCTTTGAAAGAAAAATAATATTGAATGTTTGATGATTGGACTTGATTTTAAAATATCAGAGACCAACTTCCTCTCTATTATTCATGTTACTGGCTCCTAAGATTTTTCACTATGACTCAGTTTCTTCCTTTGATAATGATTATTGCTCAAAAAAGTGATAAATGAATGAAAGAAGCTTTGTTGGTTATACTCTCATATTAATCAGCTAGTGATGCAGAAATGGTTTTACCAGTTGCTCCTCTCAAATATTGAACAGCCTGTTACCACAAAATCTCACTTTGTAAGTGTGGTCCGTATTTAAAAATCAAGATTCCTGTTAAAGACCCACCCCAATGAAAATCATGTTTTAATTGTTGTCTACAGGACAGCAAAAGAGCAAAATTGTATTTCTGAGTATTTCTGCATTCAAATCACTGTGAACCGCTCACAGACCCAGACGACAGGCTCAGACACAGTGGGATTTCCTACATCACAATTCCAAGCTCCGCCCCCAGAGCCCAGCTATGTAGGCCATTCTCAGAGAAATAGAGAGGACGATTGTGGAATGAGCGTGTTTGTTTTCTGATTTAAATGTTCATAAGAAAGCTAATTATGATTTCAAAATTTCATCATGTCCTCAAAGACATTAGTGTCTGAGAGCTGAACAGCTCCCATGTTACCTGCCACCTCTACCACACCGGCGATGTTAGGCTGCAAACTCACGTGAAGAGGAGTGTGCAGAGCAGCGCTGTCTCCGCCCACGACTCAGAGGCGAATTGCTAATGAGCTACTGGAGCTCTGCAGAAGAAAAGCTCTCAAAAATGACAGAGGTAAGGGGATTGTGGCTAAAAACTCAATAATCACAACTTAAAGATGACTGAGAACACTTAAAAACAAAAAAACAAAAAACAAACGGAGTGGGACTTTAAACTCATGACCTTTTCTATTTCTCCTCTGAGAACTCTTGTAGTGACATAAAGCTGGATGCAGTTTGACGTTTTAGCTCGTCTGGATGCTGCCGACTGCTCCACTCTGCCTCAGTACTGGACTAGTTTCAGAAACTGTTCTTCCCATCATCATCAAGCACAAACAAACAAACAAACACTGGTTAAAAAATACCAAAGTGCTCCTTTCAATCTTAGAAGATGACAAGTAAAAAAAAGTAGTCTTAAAAGAATGGTGGTTAAAAATGGACCTGAATGAACTTTCAGTTGTTTCATTTTCAATCTGATGTAAATAAAACAAACAAAAAATGAATAAGTAAATGAAATAAAAAACTTTGAGGGTATCATTGAGGATAACTGCAGCTCTACCTCTGTCTTCACATTTTCACACACACTCAGGTATTTTTGTCGTTTAAATTTGTATCATTCCTCAAAAACCGGGATGTTCAGCCACATGGTTACACAACTTTACAGAAAAATGTGGCAATAAATGCTGCGATAGCTCCGGCCTTCAGTGAGTCAGAGGTGAGACTGTGTGTGCTTCAGAGTCCATCTGGGGCAGCTGGACCTGTTGTTATAGGAATGAAGCTTTGTGCACATTTGCTAATATTTGTGCTGCCTTGTTGCAGAGTATTTCACCTCTGCGTTTTCTGCAAACAGCTACTTTCTCAAACCCTACACACTTCTCTAATATGCATGTGTGGGTATGACAGCGGATGAGTAGCTTCACTTAGAATGGATATGTAAAAAGACAAACTGCACTGCTTTGTCCAGAGGGAAAGCAAAAGTTCCTCACAGTATCTTCAATAGCCGAGCTTCAAATGAAAGCTCTTAAGTGAAGCCCCAGAATGAGGATCATGAAAAAGACCCTTTCAGGCCTTTCCTGGATGGGTGAGACGGAGAACAAACCCGATGGAGCCAAACACTGTCCCCATTCTTGCTTTTGCATTGAGACACATTCGGTATCGTCAAATTAAGGCGCGGCCGCCTTTGAAAGTCGCTCCTTTTCATGCCCTTGATAGGAATAGACAAGCTGCTCCATGGGAATTGCAGCTCAAATGTCAAAGCTGATATTCTCTCTTTGACACAAATGGAAACATTACTTTTGGCTTTAAGGGAATGAATTGTCAAAGTGACTACTTTAGTATATCCTCCTGAATCTCATCAGATGCTTGGCACTGCTCTGTCTGCAGAGAAAGAGAAAAAAAAAAAACAGTGGCTGCAAAGCAAATAGCTTTTGTGGCTCATTACTGTTCCTTTCCTTTACAAGGAGACTGGGCTTAGTGTCTCCTCTATTGTCTGCGGTCCAATAATGTACAGTGGGCTACCTGAACTCAAGAGCCACTTTCACCTTCAGTGTACCTCTGAGGGGACGGACATTTATCACTATCAGCATCCACAAGGCTCCACTGCTCATTCACACATTACCTTAATTAGGATTTTATGAGAGGTCATTCCTCTCACTCTGCCACTGAAAGAAGTGCACTGTAGACATGAAAGGGGCAAAACAAATCACATTTATTATCTCGGTTAACTCGGCTAGATTCACAGTGCGTCATATGGCACCATAAGAGATGTTAAGAGTGCTACTGTAAAATTGGACTGTAAATGTACCCTCTCTAGCAATCAAAGTCTAATTTATAGTTTTGAGTTACCTGTGAGAGTCGTCTGCCACCAACCCTGTGAGGGGCTAAAATAATCTGCATTAAGTTGTGTTAGCTCAATAATAACTCATACGGCTCACGAGGATGGTGGAGCTGATATTGAGGCTGCAGCGAGATGTGGGTCGTAGCTGTGGGCAAATTCTAAAACTCCTCCTGTTTTCTGTTTAGTCAAGATGGCAGCCGAGGTCAGAGGGTGCGGGGAATTTCCAGAGGCCATCTTTCATTTCCTGCAGGTCAGTAAAACACAACATGGCACGGCGTTTTCTGAAAATGACAGCAGAGGAACAAGGTGTTAAACTAGGAATCTTAATCAACATCAACACTCACAGGTTTATCACTTTCCTCTAATTATAGTCAGAAACAGGATAAAGACATAAAGTTAAATTATTATGAGGGGAAAAAAAAACTGTTATTTTGGAGACTGAAAATGTGTGAACTGTGTCACGTTGCAAAGCTTGGTCTTTGCTGAGAACCTGAAGTGAACCGGAGGTTTGCGTTGGTGGAAGGACAGGCTGGCCTTACACCAAAAACAAACGGAAAACCAAGAGTGCCAAATAACAGAGGAGAGGTGGCTATGACTTGGTTTAATGAAACAAACATTTCACACAGCAGTGTTAGTGTTTTTCCTCCGCTCTCTTCTTTTCATTGGTACCCTGTTTCCTGGGGATGGGTGGATTGGCTCGGTGTTGGGTTGCACATGTACTTCAGTTTACTGAAAATATTAGATTTTCACCACATCGTGATCATGGCAAGAAAAAAGAAAAAGAAATAAAAGAAAAAAAAAGATTCATGTGCATATTTTTATACCCACACATAACCTTTAACTGTAGTTAACCATGGTAACAAGCATGGATAATTACAATACAGCAAATGCCAATCATGGAGGATGATCTATTTTGAGAGATATCAATATCAATATCAGCCTGTTTGACGATGACATGGGGGTTTGACCGTGTGAGAGGGGCTTGAAAAGTGATGTTACACAATGTTGTTGCACAGTGATCAGCTGCTCCTGGAGGTACTGAGGTCCAAACTGAAGCTCAGAGGGGAGAGATCTTTTTCTGTTGCGGCCCTAAAGTTATGGATCGAGCTACAACTCCAAATCAGACAAGCCCCGACACTCGGAAGCCCCTACACTGTCTGTTTTTAAAACTCGTCTTAAAACCCATTTTTATTCATTGGCTTTCAACCCTGCATGAGACTCGGCTCCTGTTTTAGTGTTTCAAGGTTTGTTTTTAGTTATTTGTTTCTATTGTTTTTAAATTAGTTTTTAAAAACATTGAAACTATATTTTACTTTTTAATATCTGCTTTTATTTTATCCATTTATATTTAATTGGTTTTTTTTGTCTGCATTGTTTTGTCTGTTTATGTTCAGCACTTTGTTCAGCTATGGTTGTTTTAAAGTGCTTTACAAATAAAGTTGAGCTGAGTTGAATGATGGTTAGGACTTCCAACAGTTAAGCATGAGCATGTATCTGGTCTCACAGTGCTTTGGCTCTTATAGGACACTAAAGTCTGCAACAGTTACAGTTTTTATGAGAACCCTGTCTCTACAGTAAATCCTGATCCTCAAACGTTTATGGGACTCGCCAATAAATCAAGGATGAGCAGACAGTGATTGGACCTTTTCCATTCACCAGTCATTAGTGATGGGGGAAGGCAAGAGTGCTTGAAGTGGCGTATCTCTGATGGATCCTCTTGGTCCAAAAATGCCTCTACATGAGTCATTAGACTGTGTGACAGGTGCAGTCGATATCATGCATCACTCACGTGTAACTCCTGTTTTCTGGCACTAATCTGACAGTCAGGCTGGATCAAATTCAGGTGTCTTGCTTCATCACTCTCCTGTGTAACTCAAGTCAATGGATGTCCGGTTATCTGGGCAGGGTTGTGCAAATTAGAAGGAGTGAAAAGGTGAAAATAGAACAAGGGTTGGTTAAATCAGGGAGGCCTGCAACGCCCTGACGCTTAATTTCTCCTCACACTGACAGCTAATCAACTCTTCATTCATATCAAATGTCAAATCAAGGCACCAAATCCAGACTCCTTGTCCGTTTAATATTGTGTTAGGGCCAGATTTGTCTTCCTCCTCAAACAATCAGGTCAAACCTCTGCCTCTCCTGTCAATTGTGAAATGAACCCATATCCCCTTAATGAAAAAGAAATGAATAATCTAATCCGCAGATATTAGATCTGTCTGATCTGGAGTGAACGAAAGGAAGGAAGAGAGCGGAGAGTCGAGAAATTCCAGTCTAATGCACTTCTCTCAGCTCTTGGCCAAACAAAGTGGAGCAAACAGATCCTCTACAGGCACAGTTTTTGTCTGCACATCGTTAATCAGGAGGCACAAAAATGGAAGTTTGCTGCTTTTCTGTCGACATTATTTCAAAGAAATACTCAAGTAGGAGGAACGTGCTGTGCTTAGCAGCATACTTACTGTGCAGAGCGTATAGCACCGTGTCTTTGTTCACCCAGCGCTGGCCTCCAGTGAGACTCCCAAATAGAGATATCTTGTACTTTACAAAGAACATTTCTGGGTGAGAGGAGGTTCGGAGAGAAAAGATAAAGTTGGTTTCCATGAAACAGAACCCGAGTTTTTGTTTCAGAATGAAGGACCATGTATCAAACTATACCGCACAAACCACCAGGCGTCATTTTTATCAGTGTTTTGCTGACTTGACTGAAGTCTCCTCATCTCTGAGAGGCTGATGAAAAGGTTTGGTTTAGTGAAGGAAGCAGGTGGGCGCATCCCCAGCTTTTGTATGGTTTGACTACAGTGCAGCTGAGTTCAGAGCTTCTGCCCCCTGCATGGATGGGAAATGACCTGTCTGGAACTACCTGGCACTCTCTCTGTCTCCGCCTGACTTTCCAGACCCTTCCCCGATAGAAAACCCCATAAACTTTTCAACCTACTGTGCACAAAGTCTCAAGTCTTCGGAAAAACGCTCTGCAACACAGTTGCATTGTCTTGTGACCTGTTGTGTCTGATCCATGATACTCTCAAGATTCACAGCGGGAGTTTATCAGTGGAAGTCTTTGGTTCCATCTGCTCCAGGGCTGTCTAACTGGCTAGGGATCTTGTGGCAGAGAGGAGGAAGTTATCACATAAAGTTGTTCTGGGCATTTTGCCTGACAGTGATTCAGTATTTTTGGCATGCTCTTTAACACTCATGCAGGGGAAAAATGCCCTCTGCATGAGGGAAAGTGTGACCAAATGTGGGAGAGCAATCTGAGCTTTTCTAATCAGCCCGACCAGCAATTCTAACTGTGTCGCTCACATGCCAAGATTCTCCACAAGTACACACATATGACACTCTGTACATTAAAGGGAGCCGGGGCCTTCCAGGGCGCTCTGATAGCAGTTAGTGCGGGCCAAATCCATATTTATAAGCGACAGCCGGCCAGCATTCTTTGCCTTCAGCAGGCTGTGCAGAGCAGTAAATTGAATTCTGCCACGCAGCTCTCCCTGACAGAATGCTGAATAAGTGAGAGGTTCTGTATTTTAGAGAAATGCATGACTGGTGGCCCGCAAACACATTAGAATAAAAATGATATGTTGGTTGGAAAACTCTCATGGCATTTGACAGACAGTGGAACCACACAATACCAGCTTTTTTAAAGCCGGACATGACAAAGACACTGTTTTTAGATTGTCAGCAAAAGGCAGAGATTTATCGTATTAGTAATTATTTAGTCTCGGGGCGGCTGTCTTTGAAAAACTTGTTTGAGACGCTGGCAGGCATCCACAATAGATGAGTGCAATGTAAATAAATATTTTATTTGCAGTACTCCATTTTCTAATTTAGTCAAAACGTCACAGATTGAATTTCTTGCAGCCGAGGAGACAGAAAATGACTCCTTGAGGGCTTTTTGTCTAGTGCAGTTGGCAGCTTTTCTTCTCTGAATTAAATTTTCTGATACCATTGCAATGTGGATTATTATGCATAATTAATAACAGCTGCTGTATAATCTTTTTTAAAGTCTGACTGAATATAATTTGGGGCTGTATGAAAGGGAATTACAGCAAGGTTTTCCTGTGCAAACACAACACTTCTGACAGCTGCACATGCATTATCTTGCAAGTTATCAGGATTGGGGCATCGGGTAATCTTGGCAGCCTTAAAATCAAGGTGTTCCTGTGGGATTGGAAGGTGCGCTAAAGACAGCTTGTAGAGCCTCTGGTTAAAATTTTGGCTACAGAGATCATGAACAACCACCAGACATGAAAATATCCCACAGAGAAGAGAATTTTAGTGTTTCTTATTGTTATTTTGTGAAAGTTTGTTTGTTTGTTTTTGTTTTTTAACAGTACCAGGATGCCCTCTGCTTCAGCTTAAACAGCATCGCATCAGCATTAATGCCTCATGTCCACTTGAGCATGTGCATATCTGAAGCGACCATAGACTGTGTATACTATGGACAACTTAGCTACGCCTTCCGTCATTGTATGAATTTGAAGCTGAATTTCTCTCAGTATTTTCTGGATTTTCTCCACTTCCTGGAACCACCACATGTGCATTAGCGTTGTACACATTCAGTGGGAGAGTCACTGTGATGACGCTCGGCTCGGACAGCGTATCCCCCGGCAGGCTATGCAATCTTCGTACGCCCATAGGCTGTATCAAGTGTCAATCATAGAAAACATGAACCCCCTAATAACTTTTAAAAATGGAGCTGCACAGAAAAAAGAGGACTTGAACACAAACCAGTCTGACAGTAACTACATGTCAACATCGCAACCAGGAGGGAGAAACATTTATATTCTGGGTAATTAATCTCTAAAGTTTGTCCACAGCTCCATAGGGATTGTTGGAGGGGGCAGGATTTATGACCTATGCTGCAGCCTGTCACCAGAGGGTGCTGTTCTCAAGGTGGCTTCAACTTACGAGGAGGCAGACAGCGTTCCTTCTGTATACAGTCTATGATTGAAACCTTTAGTGTCCAACACAAGGAGGAGCATTTCTTTGCCAGTGGAGCTGTAGCTGTAAAGGGTGCGCTCATTCTGTCTGATAACTGAAGGATCTGACAGCATTTAATACCAAACTAATCAAGATGATCTAACATATGAAATACAGAACAGGACTTTAGTAGAATAACATTACTCGGGTTAATGATGTGTCATAATAGATTTCCGAATTTCATCTTTTAGATCAGAAAAAAATCCTCAATGCTGCAAATTTGTTCATACAAAAAGACCATAAAAAGGAAACAGGAACATGAGACTGCAATCAGAGATGAGCACTTCAGTTTGATGCTTCTGCTATGTCCTGGTTTATTGTTCCCTCGCTGCTCTCCTGGTATTTTTACTCAACATGTCATTCTCTGCCACAGGTGATCCAGCAAATATCGAGTCATATGTCAAAAATTCAATAGTAGTTCCACTGTGAACTGTTTCATTCCCTTTGTGGAGATGAAGCAGAGATTCAAACTCATTTGGTACACCACTGTTAAGGCCGTCTTCAAGGAGCAAGATTGAGACAGAAAATGGGACAGAATCTGTGGGGCCAATCTGGAGAAAAACCATCCATGAAAGAGCACCAAGGGAACATGCAGAATTCTGCTGACGTGTCAAGGCTCAGCTTGCCTGTGGGTACGGATCAAAGCCTTTAAATGAAAAAATAAAAAATCCTTTTGGTGGTGTGTCTGAAGAAATTACTCTAAAAGACGGAAACAGTGTGACTTTATTCAATCACTTTGAGTTTTCATGTTTAGTCACAGGCAGAGATTTTG